AAAACCCTTGCCACCAAGCCTGACAATTTGAGTTTGATCCCCAGAACTGCAGAAGCAGAGAATGGACTCCCACAAGTTGTCTCTGATCTCCATACATGCACACACGCACGCACGCACACACACACATACACACAATTAAAAGTAATTTTTTTCTATATTAAAATTTTAAAAAGTAAAAGAGCCGGACTGGAGAGATGGCTCAGCAGCTAAGAGCGAGTGCTCTTCTTGCAGAGGACCCGAGTTCAGTTCCAAACAACTATGTCATGCAGCTCACAACCATCTATACTTCCAGCTCCAGGGGTATCTGACCCCCTTTGGTCTTCCAGGAACATGACACTCACATGCGCATACACACAAGTACAGTACACATAATTTAAAAATAAAATCGGGGCTGGAGAGATGGCTCAGTGGTTAAGAACACTGATTGCTCTTACAGAGGACCCAGGTTCAGTTCCCAGCACCCACATGGTGGCTAACAACCAACTGTAATTCCAGTTCTAGGGGATCTGATGCTCTCTCTGGCTTCTGTGAGCACTGTATGCATGTGGTGCACTTATATACATGTACATAAACACCCAAACAGTAAAATATAAATAATAAATAGTATTTTTAAAATCTCTAAATAGGGCTGGAGAGTTGGCTCAGCGGTTAATAGCACTGACTGCTCTTGCAGAGGACCCGGGTCTGATTCCCAGCACCCACATGGCGGCTACAAACTGCCTTAACTCCAGTTCCAGGAGAATCCGAAGCCCTCTTCTGACCTCCGCGGCAATGCACAACACAGGTGCACTCACATACATGCAGGCAATACACTCACTCATACACATAAAGTAAAAATTAAAAAAATCTCTAAATAATAATGATAAATCTTTTTATTGTAAAAGAGGGCAGGAGAGGTGGCTCAGCAGTTAAGAGCACTGGCTGCTCTTGCAGAGGACTCAGATTCAGTTCCCAGCATCCACATGGCAGCTAACAACCATCTGAAACTCCAGTTCCAGGAGATACAATGCCCTCTTCTGACTTCCATGGACATTGCATGACACAGGTGCACTTACATACATGCATGCAAAAACACTCATATACATACAGTAAAAATAAATCTTTTAATCCAATTCTTTTAAAACAAGAAGTTTCAAGTCTTCAGAAACACTTGAAGTCTATGAAGAAGAGAGGGGAGCCGAAAACCCAGTGTGGGAGAGGATGACGCATTTTCAGAGGGTGATGGAGGGACGTGACACCAGAACAAAGACCAGGAGAACAGAGTGTGCGTGTGAGTGTGCGTATCTTAGGGAAGTGTGCTTCAGGCAGGGGAAACAGCATATGCTCAGCCATGCAGGGGTTGGGTGCCTGGATCACGGGTCACCACGTAGACCAAGGGGCCCGAAACACTGCTTAATTTCTAAGTGATGGGTGCTTTTCCCTCTTTCCTTCCGTTTTCCCTCGTCCCTCCCTCACCCCCCTCTTCTTTCCCTTTTTCTTTCTTAGAAGAAACAAGTAACTTCAAGGAAAAAGGTGAGTGAGGGCTGTGTGCCCAGTCCCACCTAGGGGCTGCGATCACCTGCCATCCAAGCAAAGTGCATACAAGGCCTAAGAAGAGTTCAGGAGGCGTCAGTGCCTTTGCCTTCTGGAACCGTCCGTCGTCGTCCTCCAGCCGCCTCCCTCTCTGCTGCTCTGTGTTGAGTCCTCAACTCATAAGAAGCATTCTTATTTATCTCCATTGCTTCTTCTGTGGACCCCGAGTCCTCTCTTTTCCCCCTGGAAATGACCAGGTAAGTCCCGAGTGCCAGGAATATGTGACTGGAAACTAACGGAGAAAGGTAGACAGAGGTAAGCCTCCAGGTGAGGCACGTGATGGAGAGAGCATGCTGCGGTGGCTTGCACTGAGCTGGGGATACGGCTCGGTTGGTAGAGTGCCTGCCTGACACACACAAAGCCCAGGGGTTTGCTCCCCAGTACTGCAGAAACCAGGTATGGCGTGGCTTGCACTGAGCTGGGGATACGGCTCGGTTGGTAGAGTGCCTGCCTGATACACACAAAGCCCAGGGGTTTGCTCCCCAGTACTGCAGAAACCAGGTATGGTGGCACACGCCTGTAGTCCCAGCACTCAGGAGGAAGAAGCGCCTGCGGACACATGTGAACATAAATCCATGTAACTTGAAAAATTTAAAGAAAATCACTTCTAGGAAGACTTCCCCCAAGTGACTTAAAGCCAAAAGCAAAAGTGCAAAATGAAAACTTTGGGCATGGTGGCCCACGGCTTTAATCCCAGCACTCAAGAGAGGCAGAAGCAAGCAGATCTCTGTGAGATGGAGGCCAGCCTGGTCTACATAGTGAGTTCCAGGCAGGCTGGGGCTAGGGAGACCCTGTCAAAAAAAAAATTAAAACAATATTCCCCAACCAAAGGACATGTATTTTTCTTGTAGAGTTTGCCATAACAAAATGCCATGAAGTAGATGGTTTAAAACAGTAAAGTTTAGGACTAGGGAGGTGGCTCAGAAGGTGAACTGCTTGCCACATAGGCATGAGGACCTGAGTTCAAGCCTCAGCAATGACAGAAAAAGCCAGGATCACCTGTAATCCCAACAGGGAAGGCAGAGGTGAGGTGAGAGGGTTCCTGGGGCTTGCTGGTAAGATAGTCTAGCAAAACTGGTGAGCTCCAGGTCCAGTAAGAGACCCTGTCTCAAAAAATAAAGTGGTGCCAGGCATGGTGGCTCATGCCTTTAATCCCAGCACTCAGGAGGCAGAAGCAGGCAGATCTCTGAGTTCAAGGCCAGCCCTGTCTACATAGCAAGTTCTAGGACAGCTGGGGCTACAGGGAGACCCAGTCTCAAAAAGATTTTTTAAAAGGTGGAATAAATAAAATGTAATAAAAAATGAAATGAGAGTAATTGATGAAGTCACTAATGTCAATCTCTGGCCTCCACATGCATGTACACATGCATACATACACACAGAACACACACACAAATACACCATAGAGAGAGAACATGTACACAGAGAGACAGAGAGGGCTGTAAAACTGGGCATGTTGTCACTTGCCTGTAATTTCAGTATTTGGAAGCAGGAAGATCAAGAGTTCAAGGTCATCCTTAGCTAAATATTAAGTTTGAAGCTAGCTTGGGCTACCTACATGCAGGCAACACACACATACACATAAAATAAAAATAAACAGGACTGGAGAGATGGCTCAGCATTAAGAACACTGGCTTCTTCTGCAGAGGACTCAGGTTCAGTTCTCAGCACCCACACGGTGGGTAACAGTGATCCTTAATGCCAGTTCTAGGGCATCCAGCACCCTCTTCTGACCTCCATGGGCATTGCATGCATGTGGTACACTTGCATGGAGGCAAAACACTCATACACATAAAACTAAAATAAGCTTAAAGAATTTCAAAACACAAACAGTAAAAAGAGGAAAGTTGGGAGCTGGAGAGATGGCTCAGCCATTAGGAACACTGGTTGTTCTTGCAGAAGACCTGGGTTCGAATCCCAGCACCCACATGGCAGCTAACAACTGTCCGTAACTCCAGTCCCAGGGGATCTGACAGCCTCTTCTAACCTCCACAGGCATTACATGACACGGGTGCACTTTCCTACATGCAGGCAATACACACATACACATAAAATAAAAATAATAAAAATTTTTTAAAAAAGAGGGAAATTGGTGAGGCTCCTGTGGAGGGATAGGTGATATGCTGTGTGGTCCAGGGAATGTGCAGGGCAGACTTGCTGATGCTTGGATGTGAGGAAAGTATAGAAAGAGAAGATAGTTAGGGCTAGGTATAGTGTCACACACCTTTAACCCCAGCACTCAGGAGGCAGAGGCAGGTGGATCTCCTTGAGATCCAGGTCAGCCTTATGTACATAGTGAGTTCCAAGCCAGCCGGGGCTTCAGGGACACCCTGTCTCAAAGAAAACAAATAAAAAAGAAGATAGTTTGTCTGGGAGTTGGGTGATGACCAAGATGTGGGAAATGGCCATAACCGTAAGTGTAAACCAAAAATTGAACTCAGGAGGCACCTAGAGATGTGGGTTTGGAGCATTGAAAGGCGGGGGTTCAGGATACCATTGGAGTAAATGGATCCCGCTGTTCATCTCTAGTGACGTCTTCGGCCACCACCATGACCAAGAGCACCAGGTGGAACTTTTTGAGATGTACCTACATGGCGATGACCTTCTTCTTCATGTCCGACAATAAAGGAGACTGGGTTAGGAGACAGCACCCAAGGTGCCTTTCCACCTATTCAGGGAGGAAGCTGCAGAGAGGGAGGGAAAGAGGAGGAGTCAAAAGAGAAGGCCCAAGGGCCAAGCAAGGAAGGGAGGACAGGAAGTCCTGTGAAGTGGCCTCCCTCCTTTCTTCTCACCATTCAGTGTGTGTGTGTGTGTGTGTGTGTGTGTGTGTGTGTGTGTGTGTGTGTGTGTGTGTATGGACATGTGGACATGTGGAAATCAGAGGACAGTTTACAGGAGTCAGTTCTCTCCTACTATGTGGGCCCTGAGATTCGAACTCAGATTGTTGGGCTTGGCGGCAAGTGCCTCTACCCAGCTGAGCTATCTTGCTGACCCTCTCTTTTTACCTTCTTTCTTTCCCTCACCCTACTCCCTAGCTGGGATAAGAACCATGCCCTTTGCTCTAAGAACTCATGTGCTCTAAGAACTATGAAATGCTAGTCTCTCTCTCTCTCTCTCTCTCTCTCTCTCTCTCTCTCTCTCTCCTGGCTTGGAACTCACAGAGATCTACTTGCCTCTGCTTCCTGAGTGCAGAGATTAAAGGCTTGTGTCACCAGGCCCGCCTTTCTTCAGGGCCCAGTCTTTTGTTTTCTGGATGTTCTTGTGGATAAAACATCTACAGGCACATTTACCTGATAAGCCATCTCAACAGCCCATGTTTGCTCGTTTTTGAGATAGAGTCTCCAGGTTCCAACTTGCCAGGTAGACAAGGATGACCTTGCAATCCTGATCATCCTGACTCCACCTCTTAAGTGCTGGAGTTATAGGTGTGCACCACTGTGGCTAGTGTGGGAGGTGTTTGGGATCAAACCCAGGGCTTCATATATACGAGGTGAGACTTTCCCAACTGAGCCACACCCCCAGTCTGAGTTCTGAAAGGATGGCTGTGGCTACTGAATGTGTAGTAAATTGGGACGGGGCCTTGAGTGGAAGAGGAGAGATAGGGAAGGGCCCCATGATCAGGATAGGAGCCCTGGGCGGTAGTGGACATGAAGAAATCCTGCTAGAGTTCTGCCAAGTGAACTACTGATGGACTGAGATGAGGGCGGGACAGAAAGACGAGGGAGGTGAGGCCCAGATGTTGCCTGGAGCCCTGGTTCTCAAACAGGTGACTTAGCCTTCCCAGGGGACTCTCAGTAATGCCTGGGGACTCTTTTTTTTTGATGGCCTCCTACTGGAGGAGGGTCAGTGCTCCTGGAATCTAGTGGTGTGAGGCCAGGGGCACCTTTTCCATGTCCTGAATGTCACAGGACTGAGAATGAGCCAGGTCAAAATATCCACAGCATCAAGGTTAGACATGCTAGGTGTGGAGGAAGTGTGACTTATGCGGAGAGAACTGGCCAGAAGATGAAGCAAAGCACAGGAACACAGGTGAGGCTAGACAGGCACCAGACCACAGGAGGCCACACCAGGAGGGAAGGAGGAAGGAGATGGGAGAACGAGAGGAAAGGAAGTTGACTCATTTTTCTTCTTTCCTGTTTCTGGTTTATTCCTTCATCATTGTCATCCAAAGTGTTACTGCCACTACTGTAACCCAGAACTGGATGTTAGGTATGCTGTGGCAGGGGAGGGGTGTTGCCCATTGCTGATGGGTCAAGGGAGGTTGTTTTTAATTTAATTACACTTATTATTGTTGTTATTATTATTATCATTATTACTGTGTTTATGTGTGTACTTGAGTGTGAAGGTCAGGGGACAACTTGCAGGAATTGGTTCTTTCCTTTCATCATGTGGGTCCCAAGACTGTAACGTAGGTCATCATGTTTCAAAGCAAGTGCCTTTAGCTGCTGAGCCATTTCAGTGGTCTGGGAACTGGTTTCATTGCCTAATGTCTCACATAGAGTATGTAAGCTCCAGTTATACAGTAGCTGCATGGAAGGTCGTACGTTCATTTTCTTTTACTGTGGAAGAAAGGGCCACATGTTTGACACCCCCCACACACACACAATAAATACAATTTTTAAGTTTTTTAAAAAGAGGGCAGGCACTGGGTACTCATTCCTTTGTAAGTTAATAAATGCACATAAAATATATAAAAAATAAAAGAGGGCTTAGCGGGGCTGGAGATATGGCTCAGTGGTTAAGAACACTGACTGTTCTTGCGGAAGACCTGGGTTTGAATCCCAGCACCCACATGGCAGCTAACCACTGTCCATAACTCCAGTTCCAGGGGATCCGACAGCCTCTTCTGTCCTCTGAGTGCATTGCACGACATGGGTTCACTTACCTACGTGCAGGCATAACACTCGTACACACAAAATAAAAATATAAATAAAATATTTTTTAAAAAGAGGGCTGGAGAGATGACACAGAGGTTAAGAGCTTGTACTGTACTTGCAGAAGATATGAATTTGATTCGAGCAACCATGTGGGGAAGGGGGCTCACACCACCTGTAACTTCTGCTTCAGGGGATCTGATACCCTCTTCAGGCCTCTGAAAGGGATCTGATGCCCTCTTCTGGCCTCTGAAGGCATCTGCATTCTTACACACATAATTAAAAACTCAATCTTTATAAAAAATTTAAAGAGGAGAAGGAGCCGTTTGTGACCACAGTGGGCCAGCAAGATGACTCACTGAGTAAAAGCTCAGTGTTAAACACTTGAAAACACTGCTGAGTGTTAAGTAGGAGCCAGTTCCCATGAGATCTGAGGGAAGGAGCTGCCAGCAGGTGGACGAGCCTGGTAGAGGCGTGTAGGACTTTTACCTAACCTTGCAACCAAAAAGTTATTATTTATAATGTAAAAAAGCTCACTGCACCAATGTGACCTGGGCAAATGCTCTTAGTCCCTCAGGACTCCTCGTCCTCTACCTATGATAGTGGAAAACAATGTATGACTATATGTATGCATATTTTATATGTCAAAACACTGAAGGCAGTATTCCCAGACTGGGCATCGAAGGGCAAGATTCTCTGATAAGGGTGGGTCCTGACTTCTGCTTCCCTATCCCACGCTGGAGACAGGGTTTCAATAAAGAATGAGCAAAGCCCTTGCTTGGGAGCACAGTTCTAAGAGACATCTCTCAAGGAACAAGTGCTCAGTAGTTCTGGTCCATCTTGATCTTAAAATAACTGTTAAGGGCCAGGCTGTCCCCCTTTAAAGCATCACTATAATGTGGCTTAGAAACACTGCAGAGAGGGAAGAAAGTGGGTGGACCACAGCCCTGAGGAGAAGGCCCAGGATGGAGGTGAGAGGAGTGAGCACAGGGGTCATGCAGAAAGCCCTGAAGGGCAGTTGGGTTCTATGAGGAACGGAGTCTGAGGATGCGTAAAGATGTACATAAACCCACCATTCTCTCTCTCCTTTCTTCCCTTCCTCAGAGATGATCCTTGCTGTTCTTTCCAGTGAAAAATGCTCCATCCCAGCTCAACCTTCACAACTCTGGCGTCTCCCACCCGGGAAAGCTCTCTGTGCCCTGTGCTAGTGTGGTAGGGAATGAAGAACACACATGCATCCAGAGGTGCCACAGGATGACTTTCTGAGGGCCCAGAGAATGGCAGAGCAAACCTCTGCAGGGGTTCCCCCATGCCTTCTCTTCTGGGCCATTTTCAAGTCTTCTCCACTGTTTCCCTAGTTAAACATACCCTTGTGGAATGACTAAGGGCTTGGCTCTTCCGTTCATCCAACACTGAATTAACACAGGGCAGAGAGGTACCAAGAAGCATCATTTTTTTAAATTAAAAAAAACATATTGTTTTAATTTATTTTATGTGCATGTGTGGGCATGAATGTGGGCGCCTGGGGAGATCAGAGGATACCGTGCAAGAATCGGGTTCTGTCCTTCCAGCATGTGGGTCCTGGGGATAGAACTCAGGTCGTTAGGTTTGGCCACAACTGCCTTTACCCAGACATCTTGCTGGTGCACAAGTACCTTTTTTTTCCCTCAATTATCAAACAAATTAACAGATCTCCTTATGGCATTTTTTGTGTATACTTAGTTTTAGTTGATTTCTTCCTCTCCCCTTCTCCCACATTTTCCTGCCTCTCCTAACAACTGGTACCCTGCCATCCCCAGTAGTCAGTCCCTTATCCACATTCCTATCATGTGTGCTCTGTGACCTTCTCCACAGCCATTTGAAAGCTACTCCCCGCTCCGAGGCCCTTTATAGTGTCCCAACCTCTACTCACACTCACTCCCACACAAATACACACAACACTTGGGAGGTAGAGGCTGGCTGATCTCTGTGAGTTCAAGGCCAACCTGCTCTACATAGTGAGTTCCAGGCCAGCTGGGGCTACAGGGAGACCCTGTCTTAAAAAAAAACAAAACACCTAGGAAGATGGCTCAGGTGGTAAAGCACTTGTCACACCATGAGAACCTGAGTTTGGATCCCCAGCACCCATGTTAACTTTTTGTCACTAACCTTATATACCTTCAGTGGCTTTTGATCATCTCCCATCCCTTCCTCTTGATGGTGATGATGGTGGTGGCTCTTAAATTTTACATTTGAGGGGTGGCCAGATGGTTCAGTGAGTAAAAGTGCTTGCTGCCAAGGCTAGAGACCTGAGTTCGATTCCTAGGAACTTCCTGGTGGAAAGAGGACTCCAGAAAATTCTTCTCTGACCACTACATGTGTCCTGTAACATACACATCCACACACATACACACATTCTCTCTTTTTTCCCCTCTCTCTCACAAATAAAACGTAATTTCGTATTTTAAAAAAGACTTTTGTGAAGGATTAAATCCATGACAAGCAGACAGGGCCACTAATGGATAATAATGGCACACTTCCTGCTTCTTCTTGGTCTGAGACGAAGGTTCCCCCCGCCACACCGGTCACCAAAGGCCCTATTCTAGCTGACTGGTCCAGAAGGCTGGACCTGGACATATCTCACTGAGCTTGGAGCATGGCCCAATGGCTCTCTCTTCTTTGTTCAAGTTGCCCAATCCAAAATTAGGGGAGGGGAGCCTGCCTCATATCAGCAAAAACTCGTAAAAGCCCACACCCTTTCGGGGCTTTGAATTTTTTGCTTTCCAAGTCCCCTCTCTACTTGTGGAGATCTTTTCTCAGGGAGATCTTTTCTCAGGGAGATCTTTTCTCTGGGTGTGTGTCTTCATCTTTAAGAAATTTGTCGCCTGGTGATTTCTGCTGTGCCTGAGATTTTCCCTGCCTTTTAATTATTTTGTTATTTTTATTTTATGTGTGTGTGTATTGCTGGCATGTATGTAAGTGCCCCATGTTGTTCAATGTCTGTGGAGGACAGAAGAGGACATCAGATCTCCTGGAACTGGAGTTACAGATGGTTGTTAGTTGCCTGGGTGCTGGGAATCAAACCCAGGTCCTGTGCAAGTGCAGCTAGTGCTCTTAACCACTGAGCCATCTCTCTAGCCCCCTTGCCTTTTAATTCTTCAATTGGGGAGGAAAGGAACCTGATTAAGACCCCCTAGATAGTAGCAATTTGAATTTTGGGATCCTAGGACTAGATGCCTGATTTCAGTCAGCTGATGTGAATACTCAGTACCAAGTTATTCAAAGTTATGTACAGTGCTTAAAAACACCTTCAGGACAGTGATTCTCAGCCAGAGCCAACCTCATCCCACAGGAGGCATTTGGGGTTGTCAAAACTGAGAAGTGGGAGGCATGGAGAGTGCTTCTGATTGGTGGTAAGCAGAGGCCAGGGAGGCTGCTTGACATCCTTTAATGCACAGAATTGCTCCACAAAAAACACAGAAATGGGGCTGGAGAGATGGCTCATCAGTTAAGAGCACTGACAGCTCTTGCAGAGGACCAGACCTGGACCGGGTTCGATTCCCAGCATCCACATGGCAGCTAAGAACCGTCCTTAACTCCAGTTCCAGGGGAATCTGAAGCCCTCTTCTGACCTCCGCAGCATTGCACGACACAAGTGCACTCACATACATGTAGGCAATACACTCATACACATAAAATAAAAATAATAAAAATATTTTTTAAAAACACACAGAAACATTGGGCATGGAGGTAGCAAGCCAAGAAAATTCTCTGTAACTCCTTCCTGGAAAGGCAGGTCCAAGCCAGGTGGTGATGCATATCTAGGAGCCAGTACTTGGGAGATAGAGGCAGGAGAATTAGGAGTTCAGGGCTACCCTGAACTACATAGTGAGTTCAAGGCCAACCTAGAATACATGGGACTCTGTCTCAAACAAAACAAAACCAAACAAAAAACAAAACCAAGGAAGTAAAGTACAGTGCTGAGCACTGGAAGGTTTTGAGTTTGGGGCTCAGTGGGACCAACTGAGGTGGCTTGTGCTTTTGAGTAAGATTAATTAGAAGTTATCAGCTCCACTGATAGACAAACAGCAGTATGTTCCTGGCTCTGAGGAAAGTTCAAGTAGTAAGGTAAGGTTCTCTTACAGGCTTCAGAGGAAGAGGGGAAGTTCTGTAGCATGCCATTGATGAGTAGCCCATAGTAGGTGCTTGCGGTCAGGCCATCTCTGAATCAGCTATGAGGACGGGGAGCGCAAGAATCTAGAAAAATAAGTCTCTGTAGTTCTGGATATCAGATTATTGTAATTTCAAGAATTATCACAGTTCAAAGTGGAGAAAAATGGCGGGGGTGGGGGGGCTGGCTAACACATATCTCCCTTTTTGGCTCAGTATTGTATCCTTGGCAACCAGCACTGATTGGGCACGTACTGAGTGCACAGCACGAGCCTGCAAACAGGATGCTCCCTGAAGACAACAGTGACCCAGTTTGCCTTAAGAGTCTGATTTCTGGTCAAATTGACAAGAGATAAAATAAAAAACAGTGCACCACTACGAGCAGAAACTCTCTGCTTACCACGAAAAAGGCAACAATGGATTACAATGTGAGAATTTGCATGTACGTTATTGGTTGCATAAATGCAGCGCCCCGGGGTCCCCAGTAGCCCACAAGGTCATGAGAATCCTTGTAGGAAGTCAGCCGCCCTGGTTGGACTTGGATAGCCTGACCTTGAAGAAACAGCAGGCCAAGTCCAGGACCTGCTGCGCTCGCACCTGCCGCCAGGGGGCATTGTCGCGCCATTTCCGGCTCCAGCCCGCAGCCGAATGCAAAACTACAATTCCCACAAGCCTTCGCGCCTCCCGTTTTCCTAACAAATACCCGGAGAAAGTATTCTAGCAAGCGTTTTCAGTCTACCAAGTCATTCTCTGGCGTAGGAGCTTTTGTTAATAAACTTCTTGCGGACAATCGCTCTGCTACTTTGACACTACATTACCCAGAAGTCTCTAGGCCACTTCAAGCCTGCAAGATGATTTTGCCTGGGAGACTGCGAGAATCCAGATATTTGGAGAAAGAGGCTGGACCTTTCTCTTCTTCCTTCTTTTCTTTTTTTCCCTTCCTCCTTTTATCCTTCCTTCCCTCCCTTCCTTTTTTACTAGTATATAAAGTTCTAGGTTTAGTGATGATATTTTTCACACAAATTTGTTCCCTTCTGTCTACCTCCCCCTCTGCCCTCCGCGCCAGTCTTCTCCTTCCCCGCCTCCCCTGAAGTCCCAAGAGGCTTCCTAGGAAGCGAATGCAACTCCTAGTCACCTAGCAACATCTGGTCTCCATGGTAACGTCCTGTCTGGCTTGCCTATGACGTCATAGTTCCCGCAGGCTAGACAAGGAGAATTTGAAGGACTTGTGAAAATCTGAGCAACCGTTCTTCTTTGGATCTGTCCACCCTGTACCCCCGATTCTGCAGTCGAGGGACCCCTTTGACTCTTTCTGGTCTTTGGTTTGTTTCCCCTTTAGTGAAATGATGTGTGCAACCCAAGCTCTATGTCCCTTTCTAGCCTGGGGGGGGGGTGTCTCAAATAAGGTGCATGTGCTTGGAGCCTCAGTTTCCCTATCTGTGAAATTGCAACATTTGCCTCGGTGTTGTTGTTGAGGGAATCGCGGGAGCTTAAAAAGTGCTCTGCACACAGTGACCACTCAGATGTCACGGCTCTGATGCCCATAGCTGTCAATCTTGGAAGAAGATCTGGACAAGTCATCATCACCCTTCCTCTGGGAACTCGGTGTGTTCATCTGAAAGTTGGATGTATTGGATTCTGTGGCCACTAAGCTTTCTCCTGCGCACACACCAATGCCTTTGACCTAAGGAGTGGTACAGAGCTTGGTGCTGAGCCTGTCGTGATGGCAATGGCTGTGCCCCCCCATCATTTCCTGTGTGTCACTGAGCTCAGAGGGTCCTCCAAGTGTTACTTGATGGAGTTGGCTTTCTTCATTTCATTTTGTTACGTCTCAAGAGATTGCTAAGAACCCTCCCCTTCTCCTTGATAAGATGGGAGGTGACTCCAGAGGTGCCTTGGATGGAGTTATAATCTGATAAGGTAAAGAAGTCACTAGAGGTGCCCAAGAGGTTGTGGGTCCTTCCCGTGTAAATGAAATTTCCACTGAGATTCCTGGAAAGCCTTAAGTTAATTGTGCTGGAATCCTTGCTGCTCAGCTAGGGAGAGGCTTCGATAAGACTCAGAGGGTCCTTTCCTCTCATGTTTCCAGAATCTTCCCTGACTTTCTGTCCTGCAGCTGAAGAATGTCCTTCCTTCCTCTGGTCAGTGGTCTCCAGACAGGTGCCAACAAGGCTTGAGACGGCCTTGCTCAGCTTCTGGGCGTGGCCACCCAAGGCCCCGCCCACCCGGGGGTTGCTAGGAGCTGCAGATTCGAGCTGGGGGTGCAAGCCCGAGATTGCACCCGACATAGACCTTCAAACCCCAACCAGTGTCCGGGGATGCATGCTGCATAGACTCAAGCTGAGGCTTGGCAGGATCTCAGGGCACGCGCCAGGGTCTCGGGATCAGGGAGCCCCAGGGCGCGTTTAGAGAGGGGGCGTGGCCTCCCGCGGACTCCTCCGCTCTGATTTCAAAAGCTTGATGACGCACGTTGTTGCGCAGGAGGGGGCATGGCCTCACGCTCTCGGGGAATCCCTGGGGGCGGGGCCGTGCCCGCCTACGTGTTGCGCATTGAGGGGCGGGGCCGGCCGCGGGGGGTCCCCTGCGGGTCCTGGAGGCCAGTGCGCAGGCGCAGGGGTTCTGCTGTGTGCAGTTCTTGCGCAGCTGTGTGGCTGAGGAAGCTACAAGGAGGCAGGTGAGGGCATGGGGACCTCGAGGCTTCTGTGCACATGATTTCAAGCTTAGGGTGCGGGGTTGTGACCTGGTACCCGGGCGTTTGAGTGTGTCGTGCACTGGCGTTGGTGCACGGGCGCTCTTGATGTCCCCTCCGGGTCTGTGATTTGGGTGCACGCCTACAGCTGCATGTGACATTCGTGTGTCTGGTTGTGCGGTGGGCCCGTGTGAGGTGAGAGGCCTTGAGGTGACGTCGTGTGTGTGTGTGTGTGTGTGTGTGTGTGTGTGTGTATAAGCGCGGCATTCGGCCTGTGGGTCTCAGGAACGCGTGTGTCCCAACTGCATGATTTGTGGTGTGGGAAAAGTAAGCTGTCAGAGAATGGAGGGGAGCACGAGTGCATGTGGGAGCACAAATCTGAGCGTCATGTGGGTGCTTGTGTGACAAGACTATGAGATGAGGGGCATGAGGTTGTGTGTATGTGTATGGGTGCGCGGGATTCAGCCTGTGGACCCCAGGAAGAGGTGTGTTTCCTAACTGCGTGATCTGTGGAGTGGGAAAAGGAAGCCACCTGAGTATGGAGGGAACGAGGAGTGGGTGTGGGAGCGCAGTCCCAAGCATCCCTGTTACAGATGTGTGATGGGCTGATGGTCATAGCTTGGGGGATATTAAGTCTGTGGATCCAAGGAGCAGTGAGTGTTCCAACCCCGTGATCTATGGCATCATGTGAAAATAAAGCCACCACAGAATGGAGGGGATCTGGAGTACCACAAATGGATGTGAGAGTACAGATCTGAGATCTCTGTTGTAGCTAGCTGGGTACGTGTGTGACAGACTGATGAGGCTGTTTATCATAGTCTCTGAGGTGAAGGACCATGAGGTGACTTCCTGTTACTCTGTCTGTGAGCCTCAGGAAAAGGTGCTCATACCAACTGCGTGATCTGTGGCATGGTGTGGAAAGGATGGAAGGGACCCCAAGTGGGTGGCTGTGAGCACGCAGTCCTGAGCATCTCCATTGCAGCTAGCTGTGTGCATGCGTGACAGACAGATGAAGCTGTTTATCATAGTTTGGGGATACTGTGCGCCACCGAGTGTTTTAATGGTTTTGTGTGTGCCAGTGTGTGATTGATTGTGCCATAGCTCATTTGTAACTATGGCAACGGGCTCCTTTAAAGAAAGAGCTGTGATGCTCGCGCTCAGGGAAACTGAAGCTGTTGGGGGTGAGACTTTTCCTTCTGGATAAAAGGGGAAATAGTACCTGTCAGAGCATTGATGGGGGCGTGAAATAGAATGCCTGGGCCTTGCTGAACGCCGTGTAGGAGTTGGCCTTTGTTGTAGTGCTGAGGATGGGTTTTTTATTTTGTTTTGTGTTTCTGATCCTGGGCGCAGGTAGGGTTGTAGTGGTGATGTCCAAAGGAGTTTGTGTATCTGCATTTGGGACTTGGCCATCTCCAACCCCTAGCAGGGGTTCTGGTCTCTCTCAGTCTAGCAGTGGTGCATCTTCCATCCTTCCATCCCCCAGACAGGCGCCTCCCTTATCTGTGTCTGCCTATATTTGAGTTTGAGAGGAGGGTGGAGCCTGCCCTGACCTGTGAGACGTGAAGATTCCTATGGTTGTGTGTCTTCCTTAACCAGAATAGCTTGAGGAGATTAAACAGAGTCATGTGAGAGGCAGGGCTGGTGTCACAGAGCCCTTCTGGCCTGTTGGAGTGATCTTGCAGGCTAGCTTGATGGTTAGCCATCACCAACTAACCTTTATCTCATCCCAACCCATGTTTTACAGCATCAGGTCAGAGACAGCAGAAGCAACCCATTTATTGGGTCTGTAAACCAGAAGGAAAGAATAACGTAATGTTATGACAAATTGCCCCAGACTTAATGCCTTCAAACTGCACATGTAAACACTCAATCTCATTAATAATTATCTTATTATCATTTATTACTATTAATTCTTAGTACTGCCCTGTCCTACAGAGAAAAGCACAATAAATCCAGCTTCTTTTGGGGTGCAGACCCCAAAGGGGTACCTTCTTCCCTTCAGCAGTGCAGACCACCTTATAATTCATGTTTTGTGTCAAAACATCATTGACTAAGCCTAGCCTTCATCTCACTTATCTTCCTCCACCATCTATAGAGGGAAACGTTAATACTTTCTTTTTCCAACTCCCACTGTTTCCTCCATGGGAAAAATCACAAAAGAGCTTTGGAACATATCTGCTGTTAATGGCACCAGAGTTGGCATTCTCTGAAGGTGTGTGCTGAAGTGTTTGGGGCTGAACCATGTTTAGGCCTACAACTTACTTTTAAGTGATTCCTTTAAGAAACAAAAAACTATGGGAAATGTTAACATTTGGTAGAGTCATCAGTTATTTGTTACACTATTCTCTTACTTTTTGTCAGATTTTGTGATTTCCCAATGAGGGAAATAGTTTGTCCCTATTCCTGCCCTTCCCTAAGGGACACGTTTTAGAGGGCTGTGGCGTGGCTGCCAGCCCAAGTGTTTCTGTGCAGTGTGATTTCATCATGGGAAAATGGAATTTCACCCCTGTTACGCATACCAGGAATTGGATTCCATGTGGGTTGGTGTGTTGGTAGGTTGAAGCACTTGCTCCTGTTTTCTGTTCGTTTTTGTTTTGGAGACAGGATCTCATGAATCCCAGGCTGGCCTCCAACTCTGTTTGGCCTAGAAGACCTTGAAACTCCTGGTCCTCCTGCCTCTGCCTCCCAAGTGCTGGATCCTCCTGCCTCTACCTCCCTGGGATTACAGGCATGTGCCACCACACCTGCTGGAAATTGCTTTAAGAATGCTAAGCAAACACTGTTAACTGAGCTACATCTCCCCAGCCCCAGCATGTGGTTTTGTTTTTGTTTTTGTTTTTTTTGTTTTGGTTTTTGGTTTTTGGTTTTTTTTGTTACTCAGTTTTACTGGGTGACTTCTCAGCCCTGAGAGTGAACAAAACAGTTCAGATGCCTGCTATTGACAACCCCCCATCCTGTTGGGGGGTGGGATGGGGAGGGGAGCAATATTAACTAAATAAATAAAAGTATAAACAGCAAATACTCTGGCTTTGGATACAGCTTAGTTGTAGAGAGTTTTTATGTGTATGAGTATGTTGTCTGCATGTGTGGAAGTGCATCCGTGCTGTGGTGCTGCAAAGGTCAGAAGAAGCTGTCAGATCCTCTGAAACTGGAGTTACAGACGGTTGTTAGCCGCCATGTGGGTGCTGGGAATCGAACCCAGGTCCTCTGCAAAAGCAGCCAGTGCTCTTAACTGCTAAGCCATCTTTCCAGCCCCCAATAGCCACAATTTTTAAAAAGACACAAGTTCATCATTAAAGTTAGTGATGTATTTTGTTTACCTCAGTGTATCGAAGGCATTATCATTTCAACATAAAAGAAACAAAAAATTAGACATCCTCTTTTCATACCAAGCCTTCAAAGTCTACTGGAGATGAAACCCAGGGCTTTGTGTACACTAGGCAATCACTCTACTGACTGAGCTACCTTTCCAACTCCCTTATGTGCTTTTGTTATGCAGCATGTCTGGGTGTATTAGCCCTAGGTGTAGGCCAGTGAGCAAAACAGTCAAAATTCTTGCTCTTGACCCTAAACCACTGTGTGCCATGTGGACCTGCCTTCCCTGCCTGAAGACATGGTGCCTGGGAGCAGGTACCTGTCTATAACTCCCGTGTTAGTGCCTGGCATCTGCAGGCACTGGGTAACTAGCTGTGAGGTGGATGACCCGGCGTCTGTACATTCTCCACCTCCTTCCTGATCAGGAGCCGCCTGTGATCTTTAGGAGCAGGCTGTGTTGTGGGATGCCTGCATGCTGCCCTTTGACCCTGACAGAGAAACACTTGTTTCAGATGCCCTGTCTTGTGGAGGGGTGACTGGGGACTAGGTGAGGGAGCTGGGACTCTGGAACCACTCCAGAGGCCACTAGACCTCATGATCTCCCTTTTCCCACAGCTCTGCCTGCTAGTACTCTGCCACACCCTCTGATGTGGACCATCACAGACTGGGGAAAGGATGCCTGCAGCACGTGGGAAATCGAAATCCAAGGTAAATGGTGACTCCTTTTTTCTTGTAAGATGTGGCCTATTTGCTTTCTCCCTGGAGATTTCCTGTTCGTAGGAGACTGATGTGACACCTGGCACCTGGTTTTCTTCCACGCCATGGAAGATGGGACCTGGGAAGGGCTCAATGCCCAGAAAGCTGCTGTTGGCCCCGTCTCTTGTCCTCTCAGTGCTTATGTTCACATAGTATCTGCAGGGAATCTGCAGTACTCAGAGAAATGCCCTCCCCCAAGGGAAGACGTGAGCCCTGTGGTTTCTCATAGTGAGGCTGAGTGCCCTGGTGGGACTTGATCAACCATACGGATTGAAGGAGATGGGATCCCCTAGGAGTTGCATGCAGGTAATTGTGAGTAACCCAACTTGGTTGTTGGAAACTGAACTCAGGTTCTTTGCAAGAGTACTGTGCACTGTTAACTGCTGCACCACCTCTCCAGGCCACAGCCAAGGTTTTAAGCTATCTATAGATCTTAGGAATTGTCTTTAAGCTGGCCCATGACAAAACATAATTTCTGTTAAAATAAAAGTTTATCAGGCCTAGTATTCTAGTTTGCCTTCAATTGCTGTGACAAAATACTCTGACCAATACCAACTTTGGGGAGGAAAGGGATTATTTGGCTTACATCTCCCAGGTCACAGTTTATCACTGAGGGGGCCCAGGGTAGGAACTCAGGACAGGAACCGGGACAGAGGCACAGGCCATGGAGGAATGCTGCTTACTGGCTAGCTCCCCTGGCCCATGCTCAACCTGCTTTCTTACATAATATAGGACCACATAGCCGGGGGTGGCACCACCCACAGTGGGCTGGACCCTCCCATATCACTCAGCAGTCAAGAAAATGCCCCACAGACATGGCCTTAGGCCAGTCCAATGGAGGTAATTCCCCAGTTGAAGCTCCCTCTCCCCAGGTGTGTTGACGACCAAAGCTAACCAGCATACCTAGTATAGTGACACCCACCTTAATCCTAGCACTCAGGAGGCAGAGGCAGGTGGGTCTTTGTGAGTCTGATGCCAGCCTAGTCTATATAATAAATTCCAGGCCAGCCAGGGCTACATAGTGAAACCTTGTTTAAATAAAAAAAAAAAGCTTATCAGAATAATGATTTAATTTGGGTCGGTAAACACACATTTTTCACTATCTTAAACATTAACTAGGAGTAAATTTATTCAATCAGTAAACCTATTTAGGATTAGAAAGAGCACATCCATGTACAATAAAAAGTTATGC